CTCCCTAGGATGAAAGATCAGGAGAGATTGGGGTTTTTATGTGTTTGTTGGTTGTGACATCTCCAGGATGTAGTGTCATCCCCGTGTGGTGGTCAGCTTGACTTATCATGCTTCTGAACTGTTAACTCAGTGCTTTTGACATTATAAAACCAGTGGAACCATGTGTTCCATTGGGGCTAGAGAAGTAGCCAGGAAAACTACGCTGGAGAGGAGAGCCGCTGTGGATATTTGGTAAACAGACCAATTTGGTTAAGATTTCAGCCTTGTTTTTGGTAAACTGCTATCAGGTGAATGGCTTAACTTGTCTGGTATTCATATTTTCTTTTAATAGTTCGTTAGTAATGTTTATGTCCAAAACAATTTAATTGACTAAATTAGACAACATAGACATAATAATTTTTTCCATCAGTTTGGGATATAAACAGAGATATACACTTAATGCATCTCATGTAGAAAGCCGTGGCAGAGTGCTTGACAAACTAGCAGCTCCGTAAATGTCAGCCCCTTTCTCTGCAAAGAAGTGAGCCAGGCCTGGGTGGCTCTGTTTGCTTTAGTCTTTGACTGTGGTGGGTAAGGAGACAGGGACAGTCGCAGGGGCTCTGAGCTGCTGACATTTAGATTGTTGCCATGTGAGTATTGGAACCATTCTAAAGCCAGGCCAAGGCCCTAAATTTGAAAAGAAGACATTTACCTTGAAAGCCATTGTCCTAAATGTCAAGGAAGCAGTATGCTATTCTATGTGCCTGCTTTTCATTGATTATAATGTGGTCTGCAGACTATGTGCTAGTTTTTAAAATTTTTTTTATTTCTTAAAGAATACAAAATAGATATTCTGAAAGGGAAAAAGTTATTCAAAGGGAAGGAAAAACTGGGATGAGGAAAAGAACAAATTAAAGAAGAGAAAAAATATATTTAGGTATATATGCAAAATAGTTTGGATAAGTGTACTGTCAATTTCTGCTGGTCCTTTGAAAGGAGCAGTTAATGCTTAAATTTCTTGTCTTTTTATCCTTGTTTTTTCTTTTGAATTTCTTACAACTTTTTTGTTATTGTTTCGTGTTTTCTTTTTTTAATTTAATTTTATTGAGAAACAAATAGCAATGAGACAGTTTCAAAACCAATTAATAGGACAGTTTCAAAACCGATTAATAGGACATTAATAAACTGATTTCAATAATTAATATATTGCATGTTGTTGTATTCTTAGTGGTTATTCATATAATAAGATGTAGACATGATATCCTGTCCAAACGCTATTAGAACAAATCTTTCTTACTGAATTAAGAGAAAGCAGCTGTATATCTATCCTAACTATTTTGTATATACAGATACAAAATGGTCCTTCATTTGTATCCCCTTTTTTTGTTTTGTCAGAGAAGGGTATTCCATTGCCATTTAAACATTGTCATGTTGGGGCTGGGGAGATGGCTCAGTGGATTAAGCGCTTCCCTGGCAAGTGCAAGAGCCCAAGTTCAATCCCTGGTCCCCCCCCCAAAAAAAATAAATAAATATTGTAATGCATGAATTCAACAAAATAATCCAATATAGTCCAGTAGTCCATAATAGTAGTGGGTGATCAATAGGACTGGCAATATCAGAAGTTGTTGACTTGAGCCTTTCACAGCTCAGCATATTAATATGGCTTTACTTTTCATACTTCATTTTTATACTTTTATGCTGGATGATTAAGACCAAGAGAAAGCAAGACCAATATAACAAGAAATGGAACTTTTGTATCTGCCAAGGTCAGTCATATCCCCTCAGGATTTACCCTGGAACCCTGTATCGCAGTTTGTAGATCCTTTGTCAGTGTCAGCCATGTGGCTGAGTCACGGCAATTGCCTGACCAATTTGCTCTCTGTGAAAGCCTGAGAGAATGTTTTCTCTCCATGTGACTCTCCTTAGGCACACTCTACATCATCGATCACTTTCCTCTGTGGCCCCATAATCTCCTTGATAAGAAAATTTGGGACACAACTGAGTTACAGAATAGTACAGGTTCTCCTGTGTCCTAAATCCTCACTGACCTTGAAAGACTAGGGCCAAAATGTTGGCTGTCCTGGCAGCCCTTTTTTTTCTCTAATTTTTGGTCTGCATACTTAAGTTGCTAACCCTCCAGAAGAGAAGCTTAATGATATTATTACCCTATAATATAGGCAGTTGAGCTTAACCTCACTATTTTTCTGAATATCAAACATCTTAGACATAACATGAAACAGGTGCTTTCCATCAAGTATTGATATGTAATACTTTAAATCCCTAAAGAATGTGAAGAAACAAAAGAAAAATAAATAAAAATTTAAAAATAGGAATAAACAATTACATATTTTACACAGAAATTTAGAAATCTAACCATATGAGCATTGTAATAGAACAGTCCTATTACATTTTTTTTTCTTGTCTCTTGTTTTCATTTGTTACCTTCTTTTAAAAAAGAAAAAACCAAACATTTACTTGAGAGACAGTATGGCAGTGGAAGATATATGCTATTGGAAGATATACCTCATAAAGTGAAATAAACTAGACCCACATGTATAAATATTGTATAGTTTCCCTAGTGTAAGAACTCAAAAGAAGAAATAGAAATTGAAGGGCATAACACAATTTAAAAGGAAATCGAGAACATAAGGATTAAACAATGAAGAAAGGGCAAGGAGAAAAGCTAGAAAACATGACAGGGGCAAAGTCATACATTTATATGCACAAGATAGTTAAGGCAATGATCCTGAGAATCTTCAGCAGGCTTTTGAGACTAGCAGTTAATTGGTAAGATTCTCACCCTGACTAACTATGTATGCTGATACCTATGAGCTAAGCAACTGCACTGCAGATGGCAATGTGTAATACTAGGGTCATGCTTGGAATGTCTGTCATTCTGGTCTTCTAAATACGTACTGTTTGTCATGTCATATCAATTACTGCTATACTGCCTCTCAAGTTTTGTTTTTTCTTTAAATAAATCTTGCAAGCTTGTATCTGCTAGCCTGAGCAACTAAGTTGAAGTTAGCATTATGCAATACAACAACCAATGTGTGCTAATTTTTTATTTTTTATTTATTTATGTGTGTGTGTGTGTGTGTGTGTGTGGCCAGCTCAGCCCACCAGGGGGCGGGGCTGGCTGGCATGTGGTGCTGGGGGATTGGACCGCGGTCCCTTTGCTTTGCTAAGCTTGTTCTCAGTAGGTGCTTTAGACCACTGAGCCATCTCACCAGCCCCGATGTGTGCTAGTTTTAAAGACAAAGAAACAGCAGATAGAATGATATGCGAAAATATGGGGATAAATGCTCTTCCCCATGAACCCATTTTTCCTCCTCTAAAGTAGCATTTAGCACTTGGGCTCTGGGTCACCTAGCCCCTCCCTATGTACCCCTGAGAGAGGCAGCCAGGCAGGGAGAGTTTTGGTCCAGCTACCCAGCGGAGATCTGTTGCATGGATGCGTGGAGAGCTGGCTGGCCTTGATGGTCTAGCGAGGACGCACTGTGGTTCTGGTTCAGAAGGACCTCATGGCCTGTGCTGTCCCTGTCCTTCATTTCCTGGGTGGATGAGCTGAGTGGCTGTGAGCTGCTCAAGTATGCAAAGCTGAGAACCAAGAATGGAAACGGCCAGGATCGACTTCCTGCCACAGGCTTGTTTTACTGCATAATGAATACATTATTTTAAAGGAACTGAAGCGCTTCAGTTTAGTAACATTTTACAGAAGTGCATTTGTTAGCACAATAAACACAGAGCTACAGTAGGTAACAGGTAGCACACTGGAACCTGCTCCTGATACTCTTAGGGTCCCTCTCTGAAAATATTTTTGATGGCTTGCATATTCTGAATGTTTTGAGAGCCATTGGTAATAAATGACAATGGGGCCAATGGCAACAGTGGTAAGAGAGCAGGATGGTGCTGGGTGGTGACCGTGGTGGTGGTGGTGGTGGTCGTGGTGGCTGACCATAGTGATGCTGCAGATGAGTATGGCCACAATCACGACGATGACAGTGATTGTTATGCCTACAGGGATGATGACGCAGGAAGGGTAGCCGTTGATGTTTATTGAGCCTGTCACTACTCTCAGCACTTCATGGCTTTTGTGTACTTCAATTTTTATAATTCTGTGACAAGATATTATTGTTGTTGTTATTATTATTATTATTTAGAAGAAGACAGTGTTACCCAGTGTCACACAATAAAGTATAAAGTTTGAATTAAAGTGCAGAAATAACCAGGACAGTCATTGTAGCTCACCCCTGTGAGCTCTCACTGTGCTGCATTGTTTTTCCTGTATCACCCGGTTGTGTTCTCTAGGAATTTAGTAGGATGGGCACCTTTCATTTCTCTTTTTGGTAGATTGAAAAGACTGTGACTCTGAGAGTGGTAGTGGCTCCCCAAAACCACATAGTTGCCCCGAGAGGGATCCAGGGTGTGTGTGGGGAATCATCTTTCCACAGTTGAGTGCTTCCCGGGGCTGCAGCAGCTCTACTTTCCTCATCCCCTCCTATCTATTCTGTCAGATCCCAGGCACTGCTGGCTCTGCCTCTTTGTCACTCTTGGGATACCTGGTGTCTTCCCTGCTCCTCTCTCCCTGAACGATCTGGCTCACTTTCCACTCCAGCCACAGCCAGTGCTTTGGTGCTTATATATTTTATACCAATGCCCACCTCCTACAGAGAAGTCTGAATGTAGGAATTAGTGCGCTAGAATTTTGAAGAATAGGGCTCTGTCTGCTTTCCGAGCCCCATTTCCTCTGCTACTTCTTGGTGCCTCAAGCCTCAGGAAGGAACTTCAGCAACAGACTTCTAGTCAGGTCTTCTTTCTGTGTCTGCTGCTAACACATCTGGAACACAACAGTAACTTGGTGAGAGGCTGTTGAAAGAGGGATGGATGGATGGATGGATGGATGGATGGATGGATGGATAGATGAAAGCGTGGGCATGGATTTTCTTTTTTTCATTTTGCAATACAATTCTTATGAACTTTTCATTGATCTTTTTTACTTCTTCTTTTTCTCTTCTAAGGGAGGCCCAGGTGAGCGGGGTGCAGACGGTGAAGTTGGACAGAAAGGCGATCAGGTAAAAATAAAATAGTCTCCTTTGTAGTGTATTGCTCACCTGCTCACCTTGAGCGCAGATTCCTCTTCCTCCTCTGCAGCCCCCATCCTCCATTCTGATGTGAGCTCCAGCTTCTCCTTTGCCTGTGTTCCTGGTTTCCATGTTGAGCTCTGACTCCTCGCCATGCGTTCTTCTCCTGAGTTTCCAAGGACTCACCTTTCCCACTTCTCTTTGCTTTTGTTGTATGATCATTTATCCACTATTTCTTGGTCACCAAAGAGTCACCCTTACCTGTTCCCTTCATCCTTTGTGTGGAGTCTTGGGTGCCTACATTACAACACACATGGAGCCAGTTGGAATATCCCCTGGCTCTGGCCAATGCCACCAGCCCATGATGGCTGTCCTGTAATGCGTGTCAGGAAGGCATCGATGATGATAAGAGGCCTCACTGCGCATCTGCACCGAGCCTTGGCCCCTCCTGTGGTGCTGAGGACTCCCTCTGCAGAACCTGTTTCTTTTCCTATCTTTCATAAATATAACGTGTTATGACTGTTGAAACAAAAAACTTTGCTGTAAGCAAATTCAGATTTTTTTCCCCACAAATACACAGATTAAACTATGGGAAGACGTGGATAAATTATGCACAGATCCAGTGCCATGTAGAACTGGAATGTGAACATCTGAGGACTCTGCTGTGCTGGATACTGGACTATCTCCTCCCCCCAAACTGAGAAACAAATGAACATATACATATGTGTGTATGTGCATGTGTTTGCCTCTAAGTTTGTTTTTTTTTAAATATAGAACACTGCAAACATAACTACAATGAAATAAGCCCCTGGGGGCCCAGCACCCTGCCTTGTCAACTTCAAGATATTATGGCCACTTTTTTTTGGTCTATATCTTCAGCCACTTCTCCACAGCTTCTCCCTCTGCTGTATTTTGAATCAAATCCATCTAGGACATATGTATTGTTTAAAGTATTTTCAGCTACTTTCTCCATCTCCTGAAGCACTGGGGCTGTATGAAAAAGAGATGATTTTTTTTTTCCTGTGTCTTCAGCCAGAATTATTAATAGAGTTAGAATGTGGATTTAGATAGTTGACTACAATTTGGTATTTTTGCAAGGTTAAAAGCTTTTTAGCTTTTAAAGAATTACTGCTTGTGTCTCCCTAGGGTCATCCTGGAGTTCCAGGTTTCATGGGGCCCCCAGGGAACCCTGGGCCACCAGTAAGTAAGATCTCGCGTCTCCTTTTCCTTTGGCTTTGATGACCAGCACAGGTGTACACTCACTGGAGATGGCATCGAATTGGATCTGTCTCATGTTTGATGGGGTGGGATAAAGCCCCGAGAGCGCTCAAGGGTGAACTGAAAGCCCAAGTCCCCAAGCCCCTTGCGGAATGCTGAGGGGTCTGGCTGGCTTTGATGGGCTGTGGACTTAGAATGCTCTTGGGACTAGGGGCGCTGGCAAGATGGATCCAGCCCATAGATTTCTAGGTTAGGACATCTACTATCTATTGCAGATGTGTAGTAAGAAAAACGGGAAATTTGTATTGTTTTGAAAAAAGAAAAAAAAAAGTATTCTTTCTCATAGGGATCTGCCGTATGGTGAGAAACCCTGAGAGTTAGAATATGCCTTTAGAAAGAAGTGCAGATTTTCCAGAATATATTGCAATCAGTAACAGTAGTAGTACTATAAATATTATTTTCTATTACTATCTTTTTTCCCTGTATTTTAGTACAGGGTCTACAGGTTCTTACTACATAGATCAGACTCATAGTGATTCTCCTGTTTTCAGCCTCCCAAGATCTGGGACTACAGGCGTGTGCCACTATGCGCAGTCTCAATTGCTATCTCAATGTGCCCCTGGGGGCAGGGCCAACACGGCACGCTGGAGATCGAACCCTGGCTGCCATGTCCGCCTAAGCAGGCTCTTTAATCTGCTGAGCTATTTGGCCAGCCCTTATTTGCTATTACTATCTTAACAGTTCATTCACTATTACTCTCACTTGTTACCATGACAACTACCATATGTACCTTTACTCTTACCCCACGTATTGCACCTCCTGAGCAGATGATCTGCTCTTGAGAAGCTGTGGCCTTGATGTTGGCCAATGACCTTCTCAGCATTTTCCCTCCCTTTGCTCCAGGCTACCCATGCATAAGTCATGTGCTTTTCTGCTCGGAGTTCACTGCCTTGTTGCCTGCATGTCCATCATGGGCAGCTATGGTGACAGGCCCTGAGAATTAGTTTCCCTGCTAAGCTCAGAATCTCTTGGATTTCCAGTGGGTTCTCTCCGTGAGAATCCTCCCCGACTTTACAAATAAGAGCTACAAATACCCAAAAGACCGCTTACAGGGATCCCACTTCAAATAGACCCTTATGTCATAAGAGAAACAGATTTGGTTGGGATTATGAAGCTAAATATACCAAATTAAACTTTGTCTTCTTTTTAAATTAAATCTCACTGATTCCTTTGGTAACTGTGTGTTAATTACTTGAATAAATGAGGTTGTTTTAAATGTATTTTTAAAAATAAAATCATATGAGATCTTGAAACAGTATTCTTTCACTTCATGATTAACTTTTACAGCAAACTTGCCAAAAGGTAAATTATCTGCAGAAGTTCTAAGAGCCTCGTCAGTTCTTCAGAGAGCTTACTTTAAATTGTTGAGATTTGCTCAGTCTGTCCTAGTGCGATGATGTTTTTATCCTGTTTAATTTCTCAGCTTAAATTCCTAACTTAGCCAATTCTGCTTCATGTGCGTTTGTGAAGGATATTGTAAGGGCCTTTTCCCATTGGAAATCTCAGGAACTTACAACTAGGTGACAGTGAGGAAGATGACAGGATGCGTCTGAGTCACCATCAGAAGCTTGTTTGTCTTCAACTGAGTAATGCTTTGTGTCCGCTTGGTAGATGTTTATTGGGTTTCTATTTTGTGACATCCCTTGTGTTGCTAATTGCCTTTGAGGGAGGACACTGAGGTGGCTTCCTCTTCAGGATCAGCAGCCAGGCACACAGAAGCCACTGGTTTTTGTTTTTCACTTATTTTTAATCTGGGGCTCTTTTTGGTGTTGAGTACCTATTAATTTGTCAGGGCCTGTACAGAGTATCCAATACTAGAGGCATTTGCAGGTCTATTTCATGGTTCTCAGTCAGTGTCTTTCTTCTAGATAAAACTGTTACATTGGTCTCAATTTTTCAGTAAAGAATTTCATCTCTACTCAAAAATTTTCCAAAGTCTACTTCCTAAAACCATTTGCCAGCATCATGTTGAAATATCCATATCTTAAGTACAAATCCCATTTTCTATTAGCTTTCCATGAAATGTGTAATTAAACCAAAATCCTTATACTATTGTCCTTTATTTCATACTTATTGTGTCTTCACTTAGAAAGGGAGCTAAACCACATAGCATCCTGGCCTAGAAGTTGGCTCCCATGGAAAATAAGATATATTTTCTGTTGCTACACCATATTTCACTGACATCTCAGACTGCTGTGTGGTCTCTTCTATATTACTAAAACTTCACTAGCACCTGGTAAAAACAGACATTCAATAAACATATGTCAGATACTTAAATAAAGACTGTTGGGTTGGTATCATGCTTGTTTGTGTTTCCGTATTTAGTTAATAACCATGGCATTGTCCTTGGTGTAGAATAGATAGTTGAAATAATAATAGACAACCCTTCATAGGGAACCCATAAGATATCCTTGGTGCTGGCTGATTCTTTATGTATATTAACTGATTGCAGTTTCTTAACAACCCACATGCAATTGTAGCCTGCTTTTGCATTTTATAATGGAAATAAAAAATGAGATAATTATCTTGTGTAGGGTTGTACAGCTAGTTTGTGGAGACACAATATATGGACACAAGGATTTTGAATCCGAGAAGGTTCATTTCTAACCAGTACCCTGTGTTCTATGCTAAGTATTTATAAGCACAGCCTTCTAGACTGCTCATCTTCTTGAGGCCCAGGGAGCAGTTGCTAACTGTTACTGGAGATCTGGAGATGAGGCTGAAGCTGACAGATCTTACGTGGTCTTATTAATGCTACCAAGAGGCAGAGAGGTGAATTCATCAAAAGGGCAGTTTCTTTCATCACTCAGCCAGCTCAGCTCCAAATGCATCCATTTACTCAAATATTGATTGAGTGTCCAATATGTTCCAGGCACTGTTAGTTTCCAAGAAGGAAAGAAAGAGAAAATTTCTGGTTTTGTGCTGTAGGAGGTATGTGGGAGGAGGGAGACAGACCAACAAATATCAAATCAATAAATACTGGGACATCTGATGTCGTCAAGTGCTTGGAAGAAAAGCAGACAAAAAGGAACGGTGTGTACCAGGGTGGTGAGTGGCAAGGACTTGCAGTTTGAACCTGGTAGGACAAAGATCATTAGTCTAAGAAAAGGGTCCTTGAGTTAGGACCTGGAGGATGGGGATACAGATGGCCTCTGATGCAGGCACAGGGGATTGCATGTGTAGGAGCTCTGATACAGATGTGCTCTCAAGAGCACTTTGTACTGCTTACTTACCTGTTTTCAACTCTTCCATCTGTCCATCTCTTCATCTCTAGATTGACATAAACAATTGCCTTCCTGATCTTCCCAGAAGGCAGATGCAGGAATTGAGGTCTGGATTTCTATCGTTCAATGTTCTCCAATGTTAGACATCTGAATGCGTCTCTTGAGGAGTGAGACCATTACCCATTGCCTAGGGATAACTGGCTGACTCATCCAGCCAGCCCTTCTCAAAATGTGGCTGTTGTTCCCCCCAATATCAGTGTATTCTCAGAACACTCCAGGCTGATGAGGAAGAAGCAGGGCTTTGGAAACATGTCTAGTGCTGGCAGCTGTGTGTAAGATGTGTACGAGACTTAATGTCTGCAAAAGAGGCTACATATGACTTATGCCCAGTCACACAATAAACTAATCCCAGTCTGCTTGTCTTTTTAAGGGAACAGATGGAATTGCAGGAGCTGCTGGAGCACCAGGAATTCAGGGACCACTGGTAAGTTCCTTGAGGGAGAAGGTCTTCCTTAAATTTGTCTTTAGACCTTTTCAAAGCTGCCAGTGTTTGTCAACCAGCCCTCCGTGGCTCCTGTGGCCCATGTATCACTGAGGTTCCTTCAGTAACCGACCTGCAGTGAAAGAGTAGGAAGGGTTGCTTTCCATTGGAGTGCCAGTTACTTTGCCCCTAAAATAAAGGTTGGGATGAAATATTCTGCCCATCAATGATTCTAGAATTAGTTTACAACCAACATGCAAGCAGGCTCAGGTTTAGGCTTGGTCTTTGAGTTCTTGCCAGCATAGATTTTGCACTGAGTGGAGAGGCTCAGGCTGCTCACCATGTGCCCCAGGTGCAGCTCAGGGAGAAGGCAGACCCTGTCATTGCAGCTGTTCCAAAGAGGAGATATCATTAATCCAAAGAGGAAATGATGTCAGCGATCAAGCTTCCAGCATCACAGCTAGCACAGTTGAATTCAATACTTTTATCTCAGAAACTAGAATTATCTTCATAGCACAGAGCTATTAGAATAAACTGTGGTTTCAGTGACATAAAGCAAAGGAAGAACTGCAGTTTAGCAGGCATATACCTAGTTATAATACGTGTGGCATTTAAAGGGATATTCATAGTACTTATAAAGCACATTCATAGTACTTATCTCATCCGACTATTCTCTTCATTTTAGTGCAACAATTTGGGAAGATCCTAAATCATTGTACCCATTTTATAAACAAGGAAAGGGAGGATTGCAGAATAAAAAGACCAGTATAGAGTCATATGGTGAGGAAATGTCAGAGCCGGACAAATACCCAGTCCACGAGACTGTGCATCACAGTCCAAGTCCAAGACTAGCTAGGCAGGCCAACTGTGGCCTGGTGTCTTGGAACTCTCAGCAAAGGGCATTTAGTACAGTTATTCATGCAACTTCATTCTTCCTGACCAAAGAGGACAGTGCCAAAGAGAGTTAAGTCATTGGTCCAAAGTCATGTAGGGAATCTATTTCCACGTTGGGGGTTGTATCCTCTTGCAAATTCCCAGTTCACGGTTTCTAGGATTTCACATGGCCCCATTGTGGAATGTAGAGATTGAGTGGTGATGGCCATGTGCTCCTTTCTAGGATCATCATGTGGTCAGTCTTTTGAAGTATGTGTCTTAAAGCCTCAGGATGAATGCAGTAGTGCAGACAGCATTGCGTTGATCCTCAGACTGTAAAACATTTCCCCAATAAAATCTAATGGGCTCGTTGCTTGAGAACAATGAATTGTGGACCCAGATGTAAAGTTGTTACCTTCCTAGCAATGGAAGTGTATGAAATTAGACATTTAGTCTATCCTGGCTCTTCTTGCCAAGTTATGGCAATATGTGAAATTGCCCATCATCTTGATACTTTGGCGTAAACACTAAATCAGGACCTGGTAGATGTTTTCTTAGCCTAAACACTGAGTATTGAAAATTTACTTGTAGACCTAAACAGTGTCATCGTGTTTTGAACTAAAGCATGTACATTATTTGTCAGTCTCTTGACATAGGATAAAGACCTATGCGTTCATTTTGAGCTCCCTGAATGAGTCCTTTGTAATGATTCTTATAAGATTACCCATCCATCTACTCTTTGCTGTTATAAAAAATGTAGCTTTAGACTATAACTGCACCCATAAAATAATACAAAAGCTCAGATTGTTGAAATCCTTGATAGCTATCTTATAGTTCTCTATTATACAGTGAATAACTCATCTTTATCTTCTCTTATCAGAACCAAAACTTCACCTGCACAACATATCATTCTTTCTGTTTCAATTCCAAAATTCCATTAAGTTACATAATGGTTGAATAGATTACTTTCCATGGCAAATAACTGCAGATAGATTAGAGGAACAAGCACCGAGTCCTTGTGAGTTCTAACTCCTCTGGTAGGGGCAGGAGCAGGGACAATGCCTGAGAAGGCAGGGACCTTGGGGAAGATGGTGTGGCTAGGTTACTATGGAAACGGTTAAACTGGGCAAGGGAAGTTTGTTAAGGGACATCCATCCATCTGCCATATCTTCACTTCTGGTCTGCCTACCAGTGGCACTGCTTTCTAACAATGGGAATAATCTGCTTATGATATCAAGAGCACAAGACAAGGAGTCAGAAGGTAGTTCCCTTCCCGGATCTGTGTCATTTTGTAAAAAAGTCTCTAATTTCTTTGGTAAAGGGTCTCAGCTTCCCCAGTGCTGGGATTACAGGCACACACCACCACACCTGGTTTCAGTGGCTATCCTGACATCCCCCGGGTTCTGGGGGCAGCACGGCATGTGGTGTCAGGGATTGAACTCAGATTCTTCTGCTTGTCAGGCAGGTATTTAGATTGCTGAGCTGTTTCTCCAGCTTATGGCATTCTTACTATGCAACCCTGTCTTCTTCATCGGAGCTTCAAGGGCATGGTACACCTCGGGGTTTTGCAAACTTTTGTGCAAGAAAACAAGTAGTGAATATTGCGGGCTTTGTGGGCCACATGGTTTCAGTTGCAACTGCTCAGCTGTGGCATGGTGAAATAGGCTAATGACATCATGGAAACTAATGGTTATGGTTTTGTGCTGATCAGACCTTATTTACAAAGACAGGCAGAAGTCTATAGTTTGCTCATCCATACCCTTCATTACTGTTGTTTTCAATTTATGATATTTTGTATTTTAGTAGTACAGGGTCTACAGGGTCTCACTATGTAGATTGGACTCACAGTGATTCCCCCATGGTCAGCCTTCCAAGCACTGGGATTACAGGCATGCACCCCCATGCCCAGTCTCAGTCCCCATCTCAGCTTGTCCCAAGGGTGGGGCTGGCACAGCACACTGGGGATGGAACCCCAGCCACTGAGTCTGCCTAAGCAGGTGCTTTAATCCACGGAGCTATTTGGCTGGCTCTTCAATTTATGATCTTTGAAACAACTATTCAGGAAGAAATCTAGAAAGCTCTATTATTAATATTTAAAATTCTCTAGTGCCAGTTGAATATCTGTCCTAGGTTGAGCAAAGATATCTACTTTATTTGCTTAGATGTTAATAGCTGTGGTGGTGAGGGCAGAGGAGGATTTACTGACCTGTTTGCATGGGTACAGCTGGCAGCTTGTCTAGGCAATTCCAGATGTCGTGCAGCATAGCCCTGTGGAGATGGAGCTTATGCTGAGTTGTTAAGAGTGACTTCATATGAATGTGAGGAGCCTAGAGCCTTGAGCAAAAGCTTGAATAAAGCCCTCCAAGGCATAGTTCATGACTTTCTCGTCACTTCCTTAGACTCTGTACATTTTACAAATTTCAAATATACATCATGGGTATGTTCACCTTTTTAAGAAATGCATAAAAACTCAGTTATTGAGTATATGCTAAGTATAAATAGTATATAATTTTTTACAGCAACACACACTTCATAACATCTAAACCTTGGAGGCAGCCTATGAGTATGTCAACAAATGCATGGTGATATTCACACATAGTGGGGTACTGCTCTGCTAAGAAGAAGCAATTTGAGTCACTTGGAGGAAAATGGATGAAACTAGACCATCAGGCTAAGCAAAATAAAATAGGAGTGAGCTTAAATATCACATGGTTTCTCTTCCAGGAAACATTCAAAGTATATGTAAACTTATTTATTTATTCATTTATTTTTTGTGGCCAGCTTAGCCCACCCTGGTGGCGGGGCTGGCATGGCATGTGATGCCAGGGATCGAACTTTGATCCCTGCACACTTGCCGAAGCAAGCACTTTAGACTGCTGAGCTATCTCGCCAGCCCTGTATAATTAAATATAAGAGCAAAGTAAAAGATAATGGGGGACAGGGAGGTAGATTGTTTAGAAATGGGGTAAGACACCAAAGGATAGAAGGAGCAGAAAGAGAAGAGCGATGGCATTGGAGGAGTCAGTGGTGATGTGACGGTGTGCACACGTGCCAGCTCCTCCCAGGGAAGGTAATTGTGGTGTGCCACAGACGTGGACGAATGACAGGGAAAACTGAAGAGCAAACCTGGAGCAGGTAAAAAGTAAAACTAGTTATCTGATGCAAAAAAAAAGAAAGAAAAAAAAAGTATGTGCTGGTGCCCTGATGGGGATAATTTTACATGATGACATATAAAAACTGTATAAACTTGAAATAAGCATTGGCTTTTGTTTCTCATTTTTTAGGAGGATAAAAATCACAAAACCTCATTTTATGTGACTAGGAAGCAGAATCTGGCGTTAATATCTTTCTTCCCAAAACCCTGGGAGTAGATTGTAACAGTTTTTAGGAACTCTCCATGCTCATGACAGAGACACAGGGGATGGGAAAATTGCATCGTGATAGAAACTGTGGCCTGGCTTGCCTCATGCTGATGCAGAGGTCATGGGGGACAGTTATATATCTTTGATGAGTTAATGAATAAACTAGGCGATGGATTATTAGTTCACAATACCATGTCTTTAATGTGGGAAAGAGATCACTAAGCATACCATTTCTAGGAGAGGGTTTAGAGTCTGATAGGAACAATGGGAATAATAAGGCATTGGTCACACGTGCCGTCCATCAGTGCTTCCCTTCCTCTGGGTCTGGTCGCCGTAAAATCGCAGAGTGCTGTGTCTGTGCCCTGTGGGGTGGGAAACCCAATCTCAGGAAGTTAGGGGGCACATGTTAAGTTGGATCTTGGATCGGTTCTTAGGAGCTCCAGTGCTCCCATGTCCTCATCCTATTGGCACTGTAACTGTGGATTCCTCAGAGGCCCTGGGCGGTGGCCACAGAGGGTCTCAGCGTGCACAGCAGCAGTGAGCATGCGTGCTTTTCCCGGCTCCAGGACCTTCGGATCTGGGGGACACTGGGTCTGGAAGAAGAGACCCTTGCAGAGGCCCCGTGCTGGGCTCCCAGCTGACGCCCCCTGCTCCCAGCTCTTCGTTGACTTTCAGAACAGTCAGGCAAGGATTTCATGGCATTTTTATGTCTTGGGTTTTTCAGGGGAAAGAAGGTCCTCCTGGCCCCCAGGGCCCGCCTGGAATCCCTGGAATCCCGGTAAGTGACATTTAAAAAAAATTAATTTCACTATATAAAACATTTCAAACAAAAACGTATATCCCGCTATCATCAGTGATTTGGCACTGGTGGAATCTTGGGTGTTGTGGAAATTTGAGTGAAGAAAAACAAAGCTTAAAAAAACAAAAACAAAACTGACTAAATATTGATGGAATCGGTCTTAATTTCATTGTTCCTTTATTCATATACTAGTTTCTTTACAATTTACATAATATTTGCCATTCCCTTCTTCTCTCCTTCCGTTCTCTCTGTGTGCATATGTGTGTGGTGTGTTTGTGTCCCCATACACACATAAAAACATTTTCCTGCACTACTGTTATAAATTCTTAGAATTTACATACAGCATGTTCAGTGAACTGTAACACCACAATGGGAAATTTGAACTTGATAGCATTTTTCTAATTGCTTTAGAATGATCCCCAAAAGTGCAATTCACTTGCCAGGGTACAATGATATTTAAAGTTCTTGACACACACTGGAAAAATCGCTTTCCACAAACATGATTCCAAACTTCTCAATTTAATATATATCTCAGTGGAGCTGGGATCTCCAATGTAATCCTATTAAGTCTTTCTGGAAAAATCATATTTTGTCTTCTCCACTGAGGGGGAATTTCTGTATGGCTTAAGGCCTGTCCTGTGCTCACTGCAGAGGCATCAGCTGGCCCCCATACCTACTCCTGCCTTCCACTGTGCATTCATTTGTTCAAGCCACATGTTCTGCTTCCAAGAATGTGCTGTAGTCTCTTCTACCATGCCTGACCTCCTCATCGTGCAGCCACAGGGCCTTTGCATGTGCATTTCTGTCTGCCTAGAAAAGCCTTTGGTTATCTCTTGATAGTTGATACCTTTGATAATTTGACCTCTGCTCAGGCATGCTTCCTTGCCTGCCCTCCCCCTCAAGCTGAGAAGGCCTTGCTCACTGCCTGCACCCTTACCTCCTGAATCCCTACTCCAGCTTTCCATCAAGTGACCACCTCTATTATTCATTGATCTGATTTAGTTATTCCATCAATAAATGAATTAGGCTCTCCTGTTTGCTTGATTTAACAGAGGGGAAAGAACAGAATAATGACTGGTAACCATGGTATAGTATTATGGGTTGTACATCCTGGGACCATTACAACATATTTGTTTCTTTTGGGTCCCTACACGAGTGAACACCCCACAAATATTAATTAAATAAATAAATGGATTAGTTAACTCTTTCCCTAGGGCCCTTTCTCCTGGAATATCTGGTGAGTGCTGATGGAAGAGTTACGTCCTGGGCATTCTTAGTAACCTCTTACTGCAGTCCTGTGACTCAGAGTTTTGGTAACCTGTCCAGGGCACACACATCATAAGTGATATTTTGAGATATATGAACTGCAATCCCAGAGACTGGGGTGTCATGGCAACCAGGACAGAATAACCATTGGTGATGTCAAAGCTAAGGGGGAAAAAAAAATCCCTAGTATGGATTTTGAGTCAATCCCTTAGCATCATAACCCACTACTATTATGGACTACTGGACGATATTGGATTACTTTGCTGAATTCACATACCTACAATATTCAAATGGCAATCAAATACCCATCTCTGATAAAACTAAATGAAAAAAGGGGATACAAATGAAGGACCATTTTTGTATCTGTATATACAAAATAGGATAGATATACAGCTACTTTCTCTTAATTCACTGAGAAGAAAGTTTTGTACTAATAGTGTTTGAACAGGATATCATGTCTGCATCTTGTACTATGAATAACTACTACAAAGACAACAAAATGCAGTGTATTAATTATTGAAACTGTCCTTTTAATCAGTTTTGAAACTGTCTCATTGCTATTTGTTTCTCAATAAGATTAATTTTAAAAATGTTCCAGGATACTGGGCTGGCAAGATAGCTCAGCGGTCTAAAGTGTCTGCTTAGGTAAGCACCAAGGGATGGTCGTTCAATCCCCAGCACCACATGCCATGCCAGCCCCAAAAAAAAACAAAAAACAAAACAAAACAAAAACAAAAAAACCCAGGATACAAAAGAGCATAGAAACAGCCAGAGAGATGGTTGTGCTGTTTCCTTAAACATACCCAGCATTCTCACCCACCTTGCCTTCCTCCCTCACTCTCCATCTCTGTTCCTTCCAATGAATATCTGATCTATCTCCTTCCATTGCACATCTGATAGTGCCTCCCTTTCTTCTGACTGTTATCACTACTAAGCCAAGAATGGGCATCGTGACCTCCCTGGCCTCTCATTAACTGATCACTGTTGCTTGTCTCCTTCTCACCCGTCCCTTACCTCCAGCTCCAACTTGGAACCCTTACTTTAGCTACTTTCCACTACTTTAGTCTCTTCTCAGAAATCATTCTGACAGAACGAGTTCTTCCCTCTGACTGGACAGTAGGCTTCCTGAGAGCTTTACTGTGCGTTACGCATTGTGTTCCCTGCTGTGACTCTGCGCACAGAACTTTCCAAGCATAAATACACTTAACCTTCACTGAGGCTGCAACTGCCAGCTCGCTCCTTGGTCTCCACCTCTATTAGCTGTCCCATTCCTGGCCACAACATTTGATAGTCATAACTTAAAAGGAAGAAGGGTTTTAGTTTAGCTCACAGTCCATAGTCAGCTGGTTCCAAAGCTGAAGCATCATGCTGGCCTGGAAGTGGAACATGAAAACAGAGGAAGCATCAAAAGACCATATATAGTAGCCCAGGCCATGCCTCTGTGACCCACCAGGACGTACCCGGGAGTGGGCCTTGCTGATCTGCCAAATATCATCCACTGAAGATGCAATACCAGGGCTAAGAGTCATAATGTACCCGTTGTCAACTTTGTACCCAAGCTCATCTCCTTAAACCATATTTAATCTCCAAATAAAGATAAAAGTAAATGTAAAATTCCACCAATATAACTATTGCAAGTTCAACTTGAAATGCAACAGTCCCTTCCCTCATGTCTTAGCATTTTTGGCCTTTTTCAGAAGTATAGTCTAAACTTCTTTTGGGTGTCAGGCAAACTCTTTATTGTGAATCTCTATAAAAATGTAAAGTGAGCTATATAATCCCAAAGTGCCCTGGCACAGGCACATGTTCTCATTCCTAAAGTGAGAAATACGGGGATAGAACAGTATTGGTCCAGAGCAGGCCTGAAACCCAGCAGGGCAAACATTAAGTCCCAAAGCTTCACATCTGGCATACGAAGCACACAGTGGTGTGTTTCAAGGCTTGGTGATCCCATCCCTGAGGCTTTGTTGGTGGCAGTCTACATGGCTTCTCTCTTGAGTGGGCTCTACACATAGCCTGCCACTTTTTTTTTTTTAAATAAATTCCATTTTTTGGCATTGTAAATTTCCTCGGGCTTCCACTGAATCTTTCTCTTCATCCCCACAACTTCATGCATTGCCCTCAAGGGGCCTGTGGTCTGGCCTTCCGGACCTTTTCTGAAATCTGGGTGGAAGCTGCCCTGACTCCACCAGTTGTACTTTCCATAACATTCAAACCAGCATCCAATAGATAATGCCAAAGTCAGCTGCTGTTGGCATCAGTAGCTAGGCTTGGTTGGACTGTGGCCACAGCAGTAAGACCTTTCTCAAGCAGGGTCTGAGTGACTCTCCACACACAGGCAGCCGCCTCTCTACTCTTGGGCCCTTGGTGAATGGGGTCTTGTGATCCCTTAGATGTCTTCAAAGCATTTTTCCTCCCGTTCCTTTGTAAACCATTCGGTTATTTTTAACAGTTTTAACCTCTTTAGCGACTATACCTCTTTTGACCTCACCCTTTTTACATAGTTGCTTCTGGGCCCCAATTTTAGCTTTTCAAAATTTTTTCTCTGTTTTTGTAGCTGTTTCGGACTGTAAATCTGGCTAAAAGAAGCCCACAGTGCTTGTGCCATAGTGCGAGGGTTGGCTGTCCTGGAATTTCCTTGACCACATTAATTAACTACCCTTAGCCCTAGTCTTCTGCAAAGCCTCAGGGAGTGGGCAAAATGTGGACAGTGTATGTGTGTGTGTGTATAAAACACATTTTTTGTATACCTTTTTTTTTTTTTTTTTTTTTTTTGCCAGAGTATAAAATGCATGGTCTCCAGTTCAGATATTAAGGGAGTCCTTGTTCCCAGGTGAAACTTCCTCAGCCTGGCTCTTACTGTCCACCTTCTTATCAGTATTTGGGTCTTCTGAGTGTGGACCACAATCATCCATCGGGCTCTGCTTTCTGTGTTCTAGGACTTCTCTGGCCTGCATCTCCAAACCTTCTAAATTCCTCTTACAAACTAGTTTCAAAGTCTTTGAAATCACATGGTTAGTAAAGTCAAAGCAATGACCCCATTTCTTCAGCGATAGTTTTCTGTATTAATCAGCTTTCTTATCACTGAAACACAGTGCCCAACAATTGCAATTTAAAGGAGGAAAGCTTTCATTTAGTTCATGGTTTGGGGGGATTCAGTCCATAGATGGCTGAGTCCGAGCAGGAACAAAATGACAGAAGGCACATGGCAGAGTAAAACTCTCTGCTTTGTGGTTGCCAGGGAGCAAAGAGGGGGAAGAGTGCCAGAGAGGAGTAGACAAGGGGACTGAATGTGGTACTTAAGGTCACACTTCCATCGCCCACTCAGACACACCCAGGAGCGGGCTTTAGTAATCTTCGTAATCCAATGAAGTTGGCATATCAGGACTGACAATCACAGTGCCTGACATCATTTTCTTCTGAGGCCTGCTCTTAAGCTCCTCAGTGGAGTTAGGCAGGAATAGAGCTAGACTCTGAGAGGCCTGCATTCACCCCCCTCACAGCACTTAGGACCATCTTGACCATCCACCTTCACCTCATGTCCCTCACTACAGTGCCACATAGATGCTTCCTAAATCTGGACCAAAGTAGATGTAAGGAACAAGAGATCAGAAATAGAGCGAGCTTCTGACAGTAGTCTTTCAGATCCCAGCTGTGCGGAAACCTGTGGGCTCTCATTAGGCCAACAGAAAGGAATTGGCCCTCAGCATATCCCAGATGGCCCATGGGACTCATGGGAAATCTGTGCATGGATCCCCCAAGCCAGATGGTGAGGGGTCACCTGGGCCTCCTGGGAGAGGTGATTTTCAAGTACTCAGGGTCAAATTGTACAAGCAGAAAATGCTGGCAGGGATCAGAAAGTATCAGGTAGGAGAAACAACCTGAAACCAGACAGGGACCTGTGTAATTCCACTGGTGGAGGGAATGTGGATATGTCGCCCTTCTGCTGGGTGGGAGAAGGGATATAAAACCCCACAAATGCCCTGGCGCCTGACCACCAGCATTAGCTTCCATGAAAGGAGACTTTGCATCTCTCCAGTGTAGAAGACAGCTCAGAGCCATGTACATCCGCAGCTCACCCTGTATGTATATCACACACGGGGTTCTGCCTGCAAGGGGAGGGAATCTGTTAGAAGAGAAAGAACACTACATGGAACAGTCAGTGAGAGGCAGCTGTCCCTCTCGTGGAAGCCACACTTCCTAGCTTTCTGCATTGCCTTGAGTGGCTGCTTTTACCTGTGTCAGTCTGCTGTCTTCAAAACAAGCATACGGATTGTCTATGCCATCTTCAGAGACTGTGAAGAAATACCTGAATGTTAGGTAAGCATGAGAATTAGGTATTCTCCCCAGAGCTGAGATTACCAGTAAGGGACTGGGGCAGAGGGCCATGGAATCTTGGCCCTCATGGAAATCGTTGTATGAGGTATGACAGAAAATACGATGTGGGCTTATATAGTTTATTACATAGTGCCATTAGTCCCCTTGCTATAGCGGCTCAATTTATCATAGCTACATCTTGGCAACAGCTCAAATTCCCATCAACTGAGGAATGGATTAAAAGATGTCATATTTTTATACAATAGCGTATTACTCAGTTATATAAAAAAATAAACTCAAGCTTTCATAGGTAAGTGGATGCAGCTAAAGACCATACTCATAAGTGAAATAGTCAGACCCACATGTGTAGACATTGTATTATTTCCCTAATGTAAGAACATGAAAAAAATGATTAAAATCTGAAAGGTACAGTCAATACTGTGAAAGAGAAAGAAGCTATTCCAAAGGAATGACCAACTGGGATGGGGGAAGGAGAGAAGGAAAGGAAAATTTATATGTATATACACAAGATAGCTTGGATAATTGCAATTATTACTACTAGTTTTGAAAGGAACAGTTTGTGCTTAATTTTTTTTTCTTAACGTTTCAATCAATTTTTATGCATATATCTGGTAGTCTGAATTAATTTGAAGACAACAGTATGCGATATAGCAACCACTGTTGAATTTGTATCATTATGTTTAGTGAAGTTCTGTATCATTTCTAATGTTTTCTTTTACTATTTTATATTCTCTTTAAAAAATGAAAAATACTCCTCACTTCAGATTCGTTCTTTCTCTCATTCCTGCCACTTTCTGAAGCAGTTTCCCAAGTTCTCTTTTATGAACATCTTTTCTGGAACGGTCGTGGTGGCCTCAGTGTCTCAGATCCATTCAGAGCATTTACCGTTCACGTTCACTTTGACCTGTGGACGACCTAGAAGCTGCACACACCGGGTCCTGTGACCAGGTGGCTGAGGACGCACCTTCCTGTTTCCTGCGCCTTCCTTCCTGTTAGATGTCGTGCTGCAGCAGTAGTCTCCATATTTCTGGCCACATGTCCTAAAGACAAAGAAGATTTTCGAACTGCTTCAGAGAGTAGCGAGAACAATGGGATCAATGTGTTTGAAGCTAAAGGGAGTATTTTGAGGGGGGCTCATGGCAATGTGTCTTTTACAGCAATACATACATTAAATATTTTAGACATTGCCAATAGCGTTTGGTCATCCCTTATAGGACCCCATGACTGTTCTGTAACCCACACACTCTTTGCTGCCATATTGAGTTCTGCAGGTGCCTGTGGAGCCATTCCAGGTCCTTTGCTGCCTGCTTATATTGTCCTCCCCATCAGCGCCTGAGCCCCAGGGTCGTGTTCAGTATAGGATGCTCATAGACGAGGCTGTCATCCTGAATTTGACTTTATGGAAGGGTCCAGTGGAGGGTTCCTTAGATGGATAACAAGAATAATGATACATTGCAAAATGTGTACCTCCTCCATTTTTTGCCAGGTACTGTAAGTCAGAGGTCCACAACCAGAATCGGTACTGAGGAAGAAACTGGACATCAGATCCCTTCCTTTGCTGAGATGTCCCTTAACTGTTCACTGTCCAGGTGTCTGCTGGGAGCTAGGCTTGAGCCATACTGCAGTGAAAGCTTCCCTGTGTCCTCTCTAATGTTCTTTGACCTGATCACCAATTTGAGCTCTCTTGCAGGGAGAAGAAGGCAAACAGGGCAGAGATGGGAAGCCAGGTCTCCCTGGGGAGCCGGTAAGGACCTCTAAACTTCTTCCATTTTACACCCGACATCACAGTTTCTTCATATCAGCTGCTGTGTTCTGAAGGGAGTCTCTGGACCCAGCACAGTAATCATTATTCACGGTGCATTATTTCTCCTGCCCCACCTAACAACCTGCAAGATGCAAGTCCGCTTCCTGTTTCACAGCAAAAGTAACTGAATCCCAGGAAGGTGCAGTGAGGTGCCAAGTCACGTTATTGGCTGGTGATAGTGTAACAGCCTAAGCCCTGGCCTTTCTGCCACTGTTTTATTGCCCAGGTGATCATGAGCTCTTAGATGTGGAAGGGGTCTCTGGGATAGGTAAGTCACTCCTCAGTGGGAATCTTGTATTTGAAGAGATTCTTTTACTGACAGAAGAGCTGAGTCTTCAGGGCTGACAGTTTCCTGCCTTCCCCCTTTTAACTCCAGCACAGAGTTACACTCTTACTTTTTTTTTTTTTTCTTTTAATGCCCTCTGTCCACTGAATTGGAATGAGTGCTCCAGTGGAACCTGTGGCCCTGACATTGTAGGCTGAGAGGGAGCAGGGACTATAAAGGCCCTTATCTGTGACCACTGAGTCAGATCCCCTGACCTTGGCCACCCCTTTTGCTCAAGGCTAGGTCTTCTGTCTTTGCAAATCTGGCCTGGAGTGCAAATATAACAGGAGAGTCCTTGGCTGGTGTGCAGGCGGCCCTGTGTTCCATCCCCAGCATGTAAAACATTTCGCACAGGTGGAGGGGAAGATGGAGGGTGGCAGTAGTGGCTTAGACACCTGGGCTCTCCAGATGCCCGGCTCTGTGGGGTCTGGCTAGATGCTAGAATGCTTGAAGCTGAGCTGGGCTGCCTGGAGCACTCGGTCTGGGCAAAGGCAGGGGTGCAGAGCAGTGTGTGCAGCACCGTATGTTGTCCAAAACCAGGTGTGTGTATGTTCTTCTAGTTCTTACATACAGGCTGTCTGGTCTCCATGGCACCTATGAGAGTGGCTCCCTTCCTTGTAAGGATGGTTCTGAGCGGAGGGTTCACAGGAAGGGCAAGGCAGCTTACATTCCATTCCACGGTATTATTTTATTATCTTCTTACTTGTTGGAACTATGTGTATGCGTGGCATATTGCTAAAGTAACATTTCAATATAATTACTAAACTAAAATATTTTATGCTAAAATTATAGCAACAGCAATAGCACTGACACATGCCGTTGGATGCCGGCTCCTTTCCTTGCAGGCCTTTGTGGCCTGGAGGGAGTCAGATAGTGGCTCTGAGTTTCGGGCTCTTTGGCCGCAGAGTAGGAACAGTACGCTGACTTGCCACAGTGGCTGGGGGATCAAATGGAGGCAAAAACTGCATGCAGAGCATTGGGCCCGTTTAATTATTTCAGTGAGTTACTTTTCACAACCGCCCTACTTTTAGCTCCCAGTGAGGTCAGAACTGAGGAGCCTTTAGAGCCATTAAGTGGAATTACATAAAAGTGTCTGCCGCAAGGTTCATGTTCCTTTTAATTTGCCTGGTCATAAACTATGATGACACGTTTTGGATCTTACACAATGTGCCAGAAGCGCCTTCTTGGTCACTTTAGTTTGGCAGGTGCTAGAGCCACAGTTCACAGCTGAGAGGGGAACAAAGAGCTTTCCGCAAGCTCACAGTGGAAAGCTATCAGAGACAGAGAGGCTGATGCCCACCAAGCTGCCTGTGGGGATACAGGGCACAGCGGGGTGGAGCAGGAGTGAGTCCTCCCCCCAACATGTAGGTGCCATTATTCCCCCTAGACAGGCAGCATCCAGCAGTCCCACCCCAAAGGCTGACCCTGAACCCGAACTTTAACAGGAAAAAGAGTTTTCCAGCCAAGTTGCAGGCTGATGAGAGCCCCTTGCTTACTCTGCTTATCCAGTGCCTGCCCACACTTGGCCTGTGCCAGTTCAGGAAGACCAGGACTGTTGCAGGTAGGCAGGGACCAGGCGGGAGACAGAGTTGGTTACCTGAGGCCTGAGGTTCCCATTCTAGACTTTTTCCATTGGCTCCTTCTGGAATTCCTCAGGACAGCCTCCTAAGAGAGTCTCATGTTGAGCTGTTTCAGGAGAAATTGGCCTGAGAGGTGATAAGAGTGTGTCCCTCACTGGCTGAATTGAGAATGGGTTAACATCAGGGTGTAAAGCCTTCTTGTGCCTAGCATATGGATATCTCTCAATACCAGCTTGTTGTTCTCGTCATTATTCTGTTGGTAACTGGAGCCAGTGATGGAGACTGTAGTTGACTGTGGGCAGGCCCAGGCTGGGCCTATACCCCCTCCATTCAAAGACCTATAAAGGAGGATCTCTGCTGCAAACCTGTAAACCAGATTTACGAAGCCAAGTGACACTAGCATCCAGGGATGTTCCTGATCTCTCCCATCCCCCTGAGGAACTGTCAAGAGCCTCAAGGTCTACAGCCTATGAAAATGAGATGCACAGAATGTTTAAAACAGCCGTATCCTCTGGTTCTAGTGAATAAAGACAGAATGTTGCCCCATCTGGCCATCAGTCAATCAAACTTGTCCCCCCATCGCTTTCCTCTCTTCCTCCTCCCTGTTCTGTACCTCCCTGTGAAAGATTTATCCTGATCTGAGCAGTGCAGGGCACTGGCTTTAGTCAAGCCTTGATCCTACCTAGAGTAGTACCAAGCTGTGGACAGGAAAGGATTTTAACTGGAAAGCATATGTTCATAACATCTTTGTGTTGGAGGAGCTGGGTGAATGAGCGCAGGGTGGATCCAGGCTTCCCTGCGAGTGGGAGCTACTGCTTGTCTGAGAAGAGCATCCACTGGGGTGTAGCCTAAAGATGGCATTCCACCTGGCTTTGACCTTGGGGAGCTTAGTAAAGATAGAACTGCTTTGTTCCTCAATGCCACCCCTGGAAAAGTAAAATAGGTAATAGCTTCCTTGAGGTGCTTTAGTGAATAGAGTTCTTGTAACTAAAATGGGCATTTAATTTCTTATTGGATCACAGCACTTTGGACAATGAAAAGAGATGTGCTATTTTTAAAGTGTCCTTAAAAGTTTCATGTGTTTGGTGATGTGGCTTTGGAATGTCACTGGATCACAGGGGCATTATAGTCAACAGGAGATTGTTCCACGCACGAGTTCATGGCCAAATGCACTGTTCTAGACAAGGCCTCACTGGAGGTGGTCACTGCCGTGTGATCAAGTAGGGCATATCTTGGTCCATGGCTCTCTTTTTCTCTCTCTGCTTCCTGGCTGATTAGGAGCAAGAGCTGGCCACCAGTGGTCCTTTCTACTCTGCTGCTTTGGCCTTGGGAGGAGCAAACCATGGACTGAATCCCCTGCAACCATGAGCAAAATAAGCTTTTCCTTTAGGTTTCCAGTTCTGGTCCTCTCATCACAGTGGTGGGCAAATGACTAATATGGGAATGATGAATAATGAGTGTGAGGTGGAATCCTACAGAACAAGCCTCATCTGAAAAAATCCTGCAACACAAGAGGCCTGGATGATGCTTTGGAGATGGGTGTGTATGAAAATGGCCTGCCACCTCAGGACTCAGGCTGGCAGAGGGGACAGAGAGCAGCCTCTTGACACACAGCAGGGTGAGCTGCAAGCAGCCAAGGACAAGGAAGTCCCACAAGTGCTAATGTCATCTGTGCCTTTCTTCCTTACTCCAGGGCAAAGCAGGAGAGCCAGGTTTGCCAGGACCGGAGGGCGCGCGGGGCTCCCCTGTAAGTACGAAACTGCTACTTACAATAGCATGAAGCCACCAGGGACACTGCTCGTGCCGCTGTGCCAGGGGCAGCAAGGAGCACTGGACCATGGGACTCCAAGGGTCCCTGTCTGCCCATTGGGTCTTTCTCTGTAATTGATACTACATATTCACAGATTGTAGCTGTGAAATTTATTTTCAAAATTTCAAGCATCACTAGCATGTGGCTTTTCTAAACTGTCTCTGTTCTTATCCTCTTTGCTTTGTTTTATTGGGTTTTTCTCTGGATGATAGAATTTCATACTGAGTCTTCTTTTTTCTTTCTTTTCTTTTTTAAAATTTATTTATTTATGTGTGTGTGTGTGTGTGTGTGTGTGTGTGGCCAGCTCAGCCCACCAGGGGGCGGGGCTGGCTGGCATGTGGTGCTGGGGGATTGAACCGCGGTCCCTGTGCTTTGCTTAGCTTGTTCTAAGTAGGTGCTTTAGACCACTGAGCCATCTCACCAGCCCCGAGTCTTCTTTTTTCTGTACTGATAATTGAACTCCAAGACAGAATCCTTTTAAATTGTCCAGTCTGGACTCGAACCTATAATCCTCCTGCCTCACACTCTCCGAGCACTGACTTCACTGCGTCTGCAACTGTGCCTGGCTAAATCGAGCCTTAACTTCAGTGTTGAGCAGTTGCTAGAACCACAGGCTTTTTTCAAATTAGAGAAGTGATCCATTCTCACTGTATAGCAACAGTAAGGTAAAATAAGAAACAGAATGGCCTAGAGCAGAAAATTAAGTTACTGCTCATTCTACAGGCCAGCGTCAAGCTCTGGTATATTAACATATTTTTTTCCTAGTCTGCTTTTCCATGTATTAAAACATATTTATGTATATATTTAAACCTCTACCCATTTATCTTACTGTTGTGCATGTGCATAGACACATGTACACTCTTTCTAAAAAATAAGCTCTTTCAGGGTTATATTTTTCTAAATCCTAAAATTATTCATACAATTCTTTATTTTTTTGGAAAAAAAATCAATATTTAATGAAAACCCTAAAATCTACCTGGCAAGAAGTAGCAGATCATAATTCTAGTTCTGTTTCCCTAATGTTGTTTTCTTTTAAAGAAATCAATAAATCTTCAGGCCATTCACTAAAGAGGAAACAAAACACAAAAATCAATCTACTTGTTTCCAAAATCTCCTTGATTTTTCACCTGATTATACCAGAATAAACAGGACTCCTATTGGCTGTGGGGATTGAAACACAGAATTAGTGATCAATTGTTTTCCAAACATACTTTAAATTGATGATCCCATCATATCCTTTCTAAAGGGATTTTGAACCTTATTCTGAAGCACAATGTAGTCTTCCATAAGTTAAGGTGTGCTGGTGGTTGGGTTTTCAAAGGTGGCTCCTGGATTCTGGGAGAGAGAGGGGTTGCCTTTCTGTACGGACACCCATTTGCTAAGCCTGACCTGTGTTTAAGATCTACCACTTGTGGGGAGTAATGAGGAAGCGACACTGCTTGGGAGGCCCAAGCAGGTAAAGCAAGACCAAGCTTCTGTGGCCAGCATGGCAGGAGTCAAGGCCCGACTTTGAAGGATGCCATGGGCTTTGAGAGACACAAAGCCTGGCCCACCCTTTACTTTGTCCCTTATAAACTTTGTAAACCTTGACTGCAGCGAGACCTCCTATTAGCTCCACTCCTGCAGGGTGATTGTGACACTGAAAGAGAAGACAGAGCATGTAAGGCTGCTGCCAGCTGCCTGGCACATCGGGTGGCTTGCTGTCTCTGCCTCTGCACTGGCTGAGTTGGGACTTCTTGCCCTGAGGAAGATGCTGGGACCAAGGTGGTGCCAGGCCCAGCTGCTGACTGGCTGTAGCACACCTCATGCCTTACTCAGTCCTTGGGGCTGCTCTGTAGAAGTAGAGTCTACCCTTCTGCATCATTTTTTCAGTTGGAATGCAAAGTCCTGAGGAGAGCAGAGCCCTCCAGATCCACAGCTAGGAAGTGAGGCCGAGGTTTTCTCTGAGTCCCATCACTTGCAGGGGCACAGGAGTTCCTGTCCCAGATGATACTGCAGGTTGTACCTCAGGGGGTGTCTCATTTTCTAGATGATGCTGTTAGGACCCTATGCGGTTCAGGGCCCATTCTGAGTTCACAGTGGTTGAATCTAGATCCTAATCTGAGAGGACCTCGTTTTTCTCTCTTCTTCTTCTTCTTCTTCTTCTTCTTCTTCTTCTTCTTCTTCTTCTTCTTCTTCTTCTTCTTCTTCTTCTTCTTCTTCTTCTTCT